CATACAAGTCTCAGTTCTGGTGATGAGTTCTGGCACATCCCCCCACCCCAAGAGTTTGCAGATATTAAAAACAATAGTTTAGAAGGTCTGACGCAAGACTTAGCTTCTTGTAGAATCAACACTTCTAGTCCAGCTGTTGATAAACGAGGAGACTTGCATTTGACCTCCACTGAGGAACTTAAATGTCTATATTGTGCACAAGAAGAAGAAAGAGGGGGTCTGCCACCTTCTTTTGATGAGTTATCACAATCTGACAATTATGACCCCGTGTTCACGAGACCCTTGATGTCTACCAACAGGTCTAGCTTCATGAAAGACTTCATCAATAGTCAGAAAAGAAAATCCTGGATTAGAAATAATAGTATTGCCACTGTCGAACACAAAGTATGTTCATTACCCAAGAAAAGACGTCAAACATTTCCTGGGATGTCACAGGGTCTAGGACTGATGCAAGAAGATCTCCAACTACATTACAGAGAATCTTTTTCCTCTTTGGTCATGTGCTCACTTCCCCTCCAGACAGAGAGGCTGGAGAGGACTGAAAAGGGCGATGACAGGTTATCTGCATTTGGATTAGAAAATGATACATTTTCACAAACCAAAGGGAGTTTAAAACAAGTCTCGGAAATTCTAGACAGCCATGACAGAGCACAGCCATTTCTCAGTCCATTCTATGTGACTGGTTCTGAGATTAATCCTGAAATCATCATGAACACTGAACACTGTCAAAGACATGACTTCAACAGTCAACATGATACTAACTTGAGCATTTATAAGGATATGGAAAGTCTAGACACTGATGATTGTGAATATACTGTTGATCAATGTGAAGTAGCAGACAGTGGATTTGAACAAGAATTTGGAGAAGGAGAATATCACAGTCCAGAGCCCCTTACAGAAGAGCTAACTCGAAGAGCCTTTTCTATACAAGTCATCCCTCCATCCTGCAGTGGCTCAGAGGAACATATGCTACAGAGTCACCCAGAAATACTATCTGCAAACAATGAGGTTAAAAACGCAAACCAGAAGGATTCAGTCTCTTTTTTACCCGGATATAGCAAGTTCTCAGTTCAGACAATAACAGATGGTGCATTTGAGCCAAGTCTCTTGCAGAGGGACTCACAATTATCCCTGGATAGTTGTCTAAAGAGGGATTTTAGAAATGCTGTGGACGACCCATGCATGTCCGTCTTGCAGGACTTAGATGTAGAATCATTAAACTTAAATGAGGTGACAGAGGACATTAAACCTAAACCAACTAGTGAAAACACGGAAGGTACCGACCCTATTCTCCCACTGATAAATGAGGGGACAGATTATCTGGAACTCGACACAGAAAATTCAAGACAACCTGCAAGCATATCATCAGGTCCAGTAAAAGATTTTAAAGACACAGAGGTCCTTGCAAAAGAGACGCTTAGTAAAACTAACAGGACCGAAAAACAGATTGTATCTAAATGTAAGTTATTTCAATTCATATTCATTTAAATTCGTTTCAGCCAATTAGTTATGTAAAACTCACCTATTTGTGATTCTTCATGACCATTCCCAGCTTCTTTAGAGATCAAGGAGCATCTGAAGCCTGTGGTTCATAAAGATTCGGAAACAAGTGGCTCTGAACACTTGGCTAAAAGGCGAAAGCTCTTCAAAGAGAGCAAGCAGTGGACCTCTGTTGGAGGAAGCTCAATCACCAGTGACATCACAGAGGAATCAGGTGACTTTGATGGAAAGCTTGAACAAATGTCAGGGAAAAAATGTCATAAAGAGTAAGTTTAGTGATTCAATTTCATCTGCCAGTCCAGTAAGTGGTACAAGCAGAGTGCCGTATTATCTGTTTATTATCCATAAAAAGTGACTGGACTTTAAGTTTTGTGAAGATGTTTCACGTCTCATCTGCGAGGTTTCTTCAGTTTTATACAACCAAATGGTGGACAGGTATTCAAACCCTTAAGTCGCTTTCTTTCCAAGCTCCTTACACTTCTTTGCTGATTTGACAACTGCAGATATAGAAATGCATCTATATGTAATGAATTGTGCTGTTTAGTGGTTTGTTTGTTTGATTTGTGTCTTTCTTTGTTTTGCTAGTGTCAGAGGACACGCCTTCTATGGACATAGCATTTCAAGAAAATGAAGACAGGGGCTTTTATACAGAAACATTCCACTCATCAGCATGGATTTTTCAAGGAGATAATGTAGGCTCTGGGGGAATTCGTACCAGCCTAACCACCAGAACTTGTGCCGTCTCAAGTAAGCTGTAGCTTTTGTGTTTTTACAAAAAAGTTAACTTTATTTAATTT